GACGCATAAATAATTTTTAATCCCTCCCCCCACAAAAGAAAATTGTTTAAAATGTTTTTTTCTGAAAGTTTCACGCATAACAAAACAAAATATTCAAGTTAAATTGTTTTGTCATAATAAAAACAGATCAAAAATACCTCAGATTTTAAAACGTTCATCTCTTTGTTGAAGTACGAAACTAAATCAAAATATACAAGTGATAAAGAAAATAGTTTACGAAATTCAAAAACATTTGTAAGAACAAAATATATATGTTTTGTATTTGTTTTCAAAACTAAACGATAAAGTAAAATATGAACTGAATTTCATGGTATGATTTTTAAAACTTTTTTTAGCGCATTTTTCTAAAGAATTATCCTTAAATGAACAAGCTCGTCTTACTTCTCCAATAGGCGTATGTCTCTTTATTGTCATTCTCCTCTGGTGTTCTAAGAGCGTGAAGACCAATATCTGTGATCTTTAATACAAATCTACTGTCTACCACACAGTTCGACGACTTCAGGTTGCCATGGGAACGAACATCACTGTTGTGAAGATATGCCATTCCCTGTATAGATTATAAATCAAGATTGTTGTTGTTACGTGGTTATATTTTATTCCCTGTATATATTATAAATCAAGATTGTTGTTGTTACGTGGTTATATTCTATTCCCTGTATAGATTATAAATCAAGATTGTTGTTGTTACGTGGTTATATTCTATTCCCTGTTTAGATTATAAATCAAGATTGTTGTTGTTACGTGGTTATATTCTATTCCCTGTTTAGATTATAAATCAAGATTGTTGTTGTTACGTGGTTATATTCTATTCCCTGTTTAGATTATAAATCAAGATTGTCGTTGTTACGTGGTCATATTCTATTCCCTGTATAGATTATAAATCAAGATTGCTGTTGTTACGTGGTTATATTCTTATGCCTTACAGGAATGTTTTAGATGTTTATTCTATTTTAATTTCTCTTATTATTTCTGCATCTTTAGGTAAGCCTAATATAAATTTCCTTACTTTTGTACTTATTCGTTCTCTACATTAAATCTCGAACAACAAAATAAACATGTTATTATAAAGAATTAATTTCCTACGTAAACAATATATTTGTACGTGAATAAACTTCAAAATATTAATCACTGACTGATCTTCATTCCTGTTTGAAATATTTTAAAATTTAAAATACTTTTCTGTTAAAACAGAAATAAAGAGGCTTCACCGGTTCCTGGTCTGATATTTATTACGTTAGGGGAAAAAAAATATGTATTTTTTTATAATGTTGTTTCTCATATTCTTTCGTATTTTCTATAATGTATCGTGAGATTTGTTCTATAGCAAATTTTGTTTGTTTTAAGATAAAAAAAACGAATTTGTAGATTTATAAATCCAGGTGCTTGAGTAGCTATTAACTTCTTGTCGATGATTAAGGAACAAACGTTTTCTATAAGAACGCACTACAATTAAAACTAACTTCAAATCATAGCAAGCTGTTTACTTAGATCAAACTAAAGATCAACCCGGTAACTGATACAGTTAATTATATACACTTTTATTACGTTCTGACTTCCAAAGATTGGAATTCATTGTTTCATCACTAGGGTAGCACCTTCGTTGATAACGATATTTTCGGCCGTAAACCCAATAATATCTCACGATATTAGGGTATATTAGGATATTTAGGTCATCCCTAAGTCCATATTTTTATATTCTAACATAACAATGCAAAACAATCTCTATAATAAAAGTATAAGAACAAAATTTAAAAAAAATCTGGATATATTAAACGTTCTATCCAAAAGTGTTATGAACAAAATTTGAAAAATAATAAAACTGGATATATTAAACGTTCTATCCAAAAGTGTTACTTAAAGTAATGTTAAAAAGAATAAAAGGTAGAGTGTAATTCATATACTTCACTTACGGAACACACAAATACTAAGAAATAATAACTTTTCAAACACGGAGTTTTGAAACTTCTTTCTTAAAACATTGGTATGATATCTCTCACGTGCTAGTTGGACATAAAAAACAAACTACAATAAAGTGAAAAACTGTCAAAGCTATGCTAGATCGTCCATTTTGTTTTCTAAGTAAATCGATAATATCTTCTTAAGTAAAGTTCATTCATACATTTTCGTTACATCTGTTAAGTCAGCAAAATTCACAGGAACAGCACCAAACTTAAGTCTTTTTTTTATCTGGTAGAAGGTTTTTATGAGACTCAGAATGCTATACAGTGCAAATTTATTGTGTACATTAAATGCATTTCTTCTAACTTTCAAGTCTAACAAATGAGTTTGTTTATACTTTTCCACAGACCCGTAGTCACAGAAGAAAAAAAAAGCTGTCGTTCCACCCTTTAAAGCCATAGGTGAGTTATAATTGTAACTGTCAGATTCTACTAATTATTCAGAAAAGAGTAGCCAAGAGTTGGGAGTGGGTGATGAAGACGAGTTGTCCTCTGTTTCTAATCTATCAGTTCAAAATTACAGAAAACAAAGACATACTACAGTGAATTTTAACTACAAAGCAAACCCTTCTTAAAGTAAACAAAATCAGTTCTTGTAAGATAAAACAAGTTTTTATTCACGCGAGAAATTTAGACATTTTCGGTTCAGTTCTTCATGAAAGTTTATATATGCTAACTGGAATACCTTTTCAACGAGGGGGGGGGGATATGTGCCCCAGAGGAGTGATATAGGAGGTCAGAGTCGAATGCAGACCCTTATGTCACTCTCTGGAGGATCCTTTTATGATACATACTAGGCTTGATAGCAATCGATTTATCGGTTCGCCCGCCGTAAACAGATACACACACATACAATTTTTTATCATATAATGGTCTAGATAAACAGGAGGTAAGCCTAGTTCGGTTACGTACTTATCTTACAATTTTTATAAGTTCTTTAAATATACACATATATATACATACATAGAGTTTGTTTGTTTTTGTAATTAAGCACAAAGCTACACAATGGGCTATCTGTGCTCTGCTCACCACGGGTATCGAAACCCGAATTCTAGCGTTGTAAGTCCGCAGACATACCGATGTGGCACTGGGGGCTATATACATAGAGAGAGAGAATATGAAATGAAGGGTTGTGAAAAACAAAACAATTCGACGAGCTAGACAAAACTGTTTCTATACAAATACATCCTTTACATAACCTGCTATTTAACCAGAACACAATTTAACGTTCGTACAGCAATTTTTTGGTTTACTTGATAAGAAAGGTAACCAATAATTAGACTAATATTTTGAGAAAGTTATGCGTACCGTGTATTCACTCTTCTTTCAAGTGCTCCATATTTCAAACACAGCAGTAGCGGTGTTTCACAACTACAATTCTGTATACGAATTAAATGAGTTTCAAACATCTTGAAGTTAATCACAAAATTGTTCACTCGCTTGTTATCTTTATCATAACACAAAATGATGTTTCTTTTCTTCAATAAGACATTCAACGTTTCGCTTTACAGTTTCTTTTATTAGCGTTCCACTAAAACACAAGAATTGAAGCTTTGTACTCTCAGTTACTGAAGGGTTGTAAAGCGAAACGTTGAGTATCCTTTTGAATAAAAGAAAATAATTTTGGTGTCATAATCGCTTATTTCTAGAATTAATGTGTTTTTGTACTCCAATATGAGTTACAAAAATTAAATGAGTCTTTAAAATATTTAAGAGAAGCTGAAACTAAGCATAGCCTACTAGCACAGAGAGAGTCTTTTGGTGTTTCAAGTATTCCCGAGTTGGGAAGTCTACCTTTACGGTGTCTTGAAGTATTCTGGTGTTTCAAGTATTCGCGAGTTGGGAAGCCTACCTTTACGGTGTCTTGAAGTATTCTGGTGTTTCAAGTATTCACGAGTTGGGAAGCCTACCTTTACGGTGTCTTGAAGTATTCTGGTGTTTGAAGTATTCACGAGTTGGGAAGCCTACCTTTACGGTGTCTTGAAGTATTCTGGTGTTTCAAATATTCACGAGTTGGGAAGCCTACCTTTACGGTGTCTTGAAGTATTCTGGTGTTTCAAGTATTCACGAGTTGGGAAACCTACCTTTACGGTGTCTTGAAGTATTCTGGTGTTTGAAGTATTCACGAGTTGGGAAGCCTACCTTTACGGTGTCTTGAAGTATTCTGGTGTTTCAAATATTCACGAGTTGGGAATCCTACCTTTACGATGTGTTGAAGTATTCTGGTGTTTCAAGTAGTCACTAGTTGGGAAGCCTACCTTTACGGTGTCTTGAGGTATTCTGGTGTTTCAAGTATTCACGAGTTAGGAAGCCTACCTTTGAGGTGTCTTGAAGTATTCTGGTGTTTCAAGTATTCGCGAGTTGGGAAGCCTACCTTTACGATGTGTTGAAGTATTCTGGGGTTTTAAGTATTCACTAGTTGGGAAGCCTACCTTTACGGTGTCTTGAAGTAAAGAACAGCGGAACATCCAGTCAAGCTTTATCTCTTCATTTTCTAAGATGTCCTGCGAATATCAATTTTTATATAAAATCAAGTAAAACCGAACAGCTCCTGGTCAAAAGAACAACGAAAGAGTGAGAGAAAACTGTTAACTTTGTTTCACATTCAATGAATTGATCCGAACAGGTTCTGTTGTTGCGTTCCTTGAGAATAAACTACATAAACAGAGTTGCAACTCACAACTGAACACTAGGTCGTAAAGTAACCCGAATCAAGTAGAGACATAAACACATAACGTTAAGTCTGTATAATTAGATTTTGTTATCATCTCTTAGACCCTAATATGTAAATTGCTGATAGCATCCAACCAGATTTCAAAAATTCTAGTTTGGAAAGGCTGATAATAAACATAGTAGTTAAGATAAAATTCTTATTGGACATATGTGTGTAAAGTCATAAATAAATACAATTAAAAACGATAACTCATAAATAGATACAGTTCAAAAACGTTGTTGTTTTTAACTGTATTTATTTATGACAGTTAAGAGCTTCATCACGGTTAAATATGTAAAAAAAATGGTTTCCCATAAACTCAATTACATCGATATTTTTTACAGTAGAAAATAAAAGTATTCTAAATCGCTTTTGGTTGATTAGTGGAAGTTTTAAAATTCTTGATGAACGGATATCATAACCTAAAAACCCGCTGTTTGACTTAAGTCATAACACATTGCTCACGACATAATTACAATTACTGACATAGAAACGTACAAAACGTTTCTACTAAATGCACATATTTTCCTCTTACCGCTTTCGAATCGGTTAAACCAACATTTTCAAGCCTCGTCCATTTTTCGTAGCGCCATTACAAAAAAATTAGTTTTATGAACGACGGAGAGTTAGATTTGTGAAACGTCATTGAACGTTTCATTACGCATTTAGAAAAATACGGTTTTAATTACTCATCAGTACTAAACTGAACATTACAACCGTCTAGGCCTCGTATTCGAATATTGTATATCAGGATACTAAAGTAAGATCAGAATTTAAGATACTACTAACCTGTAGACTTCCTTTGGGGCAATATTCGGTGACAAGGCAACAATATGGAGGATCTACGCATGCTCCGATGAATCGAACAATGTGATCGTTTTGCAAATCTTTCATCTGTGTAAGTTGAATAAGTTATTTCATCAGACAATTTAAAGCACACACATTTACTTATATCTTTTAAGCTTGATTAATTGATTGCCGAGACAAATAAGTTAACTCGTTATCCTACTCAATATGCGTAAGCCCTCTATGGGTGAGATTTGGAAATATATTTAATTTTGATAAAAGTAAGACTATAGTTTCGCTATACCAGTCATTTCATAAATGAAAGCAATAATAATTTTAAACTCTAAGTTACTTTAAAGTTCCAAAAAAAATGTACACCACACACTACACAAACTAGAAACAAATAGCAATAAAATTTGTAATAAAAAGTATTTGATACGATGAACGGAACTGTATATTTGTTTGTTAACCTGAACTATACCCTATGCACCGAACGACCTAAACATCTCAGAGACTCCCATGGCTCAGGTACAGTCCGTACCTAATTTTAAACTATCAGAGTGACGTCCATTAGTCGACAGCAACTGCCGCCTTAAGCACGTTCGCTTAAACATATATTGGGATTGACTGTCACTCTTATAACGCACCTACAGCTCAAAGTGTGAAGTGTGTATGGTAGCACCTCGTCTAGACACCGCAGGTTCTTTTAACCATGTATTAGGATTAACTGTTACTCTTATAACGCACCTACAGCTGAAAGTGCGAAGTGTGCCTGGTAGCACCACATCTCAAACCCGAAACCCTCAGATTCCCTAGTTCGATATCTAACTATGGGCCATGTTTAGTGCCCAGAATTCGTCAAATAAAACAGTTAAATATTTCAATAGCTCATTAATACGAAATCTTCAAAGAAATTTTGTATGGTGACCCGATATCATATCAACAAAATCATTTACACGTGTCTCAACGAGTCCCAGCTACAACTACAACGGATCCTAGAATATTATTAAACCAGTCTAGGTGCATTACAGCATGCATGCATGGATAACCTTGGCAGTGTGATATGGGTTCGATACAAGTCATGCATGGAGAACCTTGGCAGCGTGATATGGGTTCGATACAAGTCATGCATGGAGAACCTTGGCAGCGTGATATGGGTTCGATACAAGTCATGCATGGAGAACCTTGGCAGCGTGATATGGGTTCGATACAAGTCATGCATGGAGAACCTTGGCAGCGTGATATGGGTTCGATATAAGTTTCAACACATCTAGGAATATACTTGTTAATCTAGTTTCCGGACAGTATGTATTTATATTGTTTGTTTGCTTCTTTGTTTTTCACGTATTTGGTCTTATTAATCCACTCATGGTAGAAATAAGTAAGAAAAAGATATCATTTATTTAAAGTATGAGATATTTAGTTCCTGATTTTCAACCTCAAAAAGCAATCAAATAAAGCTTAAGAAGACGGTTTTCGTGTGTGTAAATAGATCGGTTCAATAAGTGGTTCAGTAAGGATATGAGTATAAATTAGGCTAATGTTTTTCATTTCTTCAGAAGCCTTATAAAAAATTCTGTCAGATTAATCATGCGATGTAACGCTATCTTTCAACAAATAATCTTACTAAGTCATCTATTTGCTTACAATGCTATTTCAAATAACGTTTTCGTCTTGTAGAAGTTAAAGATTAAGTGTCAAATTGTTAAAAGAATCTGATATTTTTATTAACTTACCCGTTTTAACTCCAACAATAGAGGTCTATTGATCTCGATCCGAGTTTTTACAAGAGGTTTTATGGCAACGATGACTCCCTGGCAAACAAACAAAGAAATAAAACGTTTTGTCACTGAGCAGCAATAGAGATGTATTATTTAATTTCTGTAGTGCATATTGGTGTATAGAAGACATATTAATACTAAAAATAAACGACCTTATGGCATCAAAATGTTGTTTTTTTTAATTAGACACTCAACGTTTCGCTTTACAGCTTCTTCAGGAGCGATTTATGTTCTAGTCAACGCTCCTGAAGAAGCTGTAAAGCGAAACGTTGAATGTCTAATCAAATAAAAGCAACATTTTGATGTTATGAGGTCGTTTATTTCTATTGTTAATAGAGATGTATTGATTTTGATTCGAATTTTCACAGGAGGTTAGATAGCAACAAAGACTTCCTAACAACAGCAAAAAAGGATTTCTTGAAATAAAGTATTTTTTCAGTTGTATATATCTGTTAAAGATATATTTTCTTTTTTCACCAAAGGTAAAACTGAAAAGAGAATCTGTGAAGTAGAAACCTAATGCATTCTTTAATTGACCGTAACCTCTGTTGTGGGCTGCAGTTTTGCCTATTCAAGGCTCATCAGCACAGCTTGGGTCAGCAAACCAAAGAAATGCCATTAAGCCTATTATAATTAATAATTATTCACTTTGGTAAATTAACTTAGGTTACTATATTGTGTAGTAAAACAGACTTAAATCCCCATAAATCAAAAAAATTTTCTTTGAGCAACAATAGAGGTTTATTGATTTCGAGTTGCGTTTTCACAAGAAGTTTGATGGCAATATTTATTCCCTAACAAAAAAAAACAGATTTATTAAAATAAAACATTTTATTTTCAATAAAGAACAATAGAAGTATATGAGTTCAATTCGAGATTCCACAAGACTAAAAAACAAAAACATGAGGATTTCCTGAAATATAACATTTTATCAATAAGCAACAATAAAAGTATACTGAGTTCAATTCGGGTTTCCACAAGAGTAACAAACAAAAAATATATTTCCTCAAATAAAACATATTTTCAATAAGCAACAATAGACGCGTACTGGTTTCAATTCGGGTTTTCACAAGACTAACAAACAAACAAAAAAAAAGGATTTCCTGAAATAAAACATTTTTTTCAATAAGCAACAATAAAAGTATACTGATTTCAATTCGGGTTCCCACAAGACTAAAAAACAAAAAAGAGATTTCCTGAAATAAAACATTTTTCATTGATCAAATTTATTTGAATGATAAGGGATGGCTTTGATGTGTTTTTTTTAAGGGTTTAGTTTAATGTAGATAGGGCAGTCTGGATGGACCATATGGTCCCTTAATGTTATGTTATGTTTAAAAATAAATAAATACACTGACAGAAGTTACTCCTTTTCAATAGACTACACATATATATACATATATGATCAATTTAATTTTAAGTACTATTACAAAAACTTCAAGTTTCAAGATAAATTCAACCTCACCTTGTAATAACCTGTTTTTGTAAACACCTGTTTTCCTTTCATGCCAGAAGCTAAAGTCTCTTCGGAACAAGAACTCTGAAATATTGGTTAACATTAGCAAAGTAGGGCTCAAGAAATTAACTCACATAAACACTTGACTTATAAAACTATTTTATTAGACATTTATTTGATATTTTCATTCGTGCAGGTATTAACTAGCGACTTGTTCAACTCAAGAAGACAGATTAGTGTTCCATCGAAACATGTAGCTTGTTCATCAAAAACAATACCACTTTATTACGCTAATAAATCGTTGTCTGTCAATTCATTGTTGTATTAGCACAATGCGCTTCTGTACACAAGTATAGCCTCACTATGATTCAGTTTACTACTCAACCTATCTTCGACGAATGCACGAAGTTATGTCATACTACCTCATCCATCCATAGCCAATCAGTGTTGTGGAAGTCAAAACATAAGTTGTACGGGTAATTAAAATCACCATAAATTAAACTTATTAAAGAGCTTCAGATCAAAAATAAGCTAACTGTTTAAAACAAGAGTAAAATAATAAAAAAATGGCTTATAAATTAATCTAGACAATTCTGTAACTCAAACTGATTAGAAATAAGTAATGTCCTAAATTAACGCCTTAGAAAACTAAAATCTATAAAGTTTAGAACGATTTGAATTTTTAATATGGTATATGTTATGGTAAAAATAGTGTTAATTATGGTTACAGCTATATTACAGGAGTAATAGGGTTAGTTATGGTTACAGCTATATTACAGGAGTAATAGGGTTAGTTATGGTTACAGCTATATTACAGGAGTAATAGTGTTAGTTATGGTTACAGCTATATTACAGGAGTAATAGTGTTAGTTATGGTTACAACTATATTACAGGAGTAATAGGATTAGTTATGATTACAGCTATATTACTGGAGTAATAGTGTTAGTGATGGTTACAGCTTGTAATATTTTAGATGAATTAAAATTACTGCTAAAAGTTCATATTTCTATTCTCAGTGGTAGTCCGTAATCTTACAGTTTACAAGCAATAAATGTTGTCTAAACTCAGAAAATTCATTACATTAAAAATACGAACACTGACGGACCAGTGCCTCATCCAAGTAAGGAAGTAAACGTTCATTGTACTAGAAATGAAATTATTAAAGGATTAGTACATCATCCAAGTTAAGGAATAAAAACATCATCAACTAACCTAATTACATTGAATAGTTTGGAACCAGTATTAAAGTTATTGAAACTTTAGATGAAAACACAACTTATCGTATGTTGAATCCTAAAATTAAAGAACGTATACAATTAGTCTGGTAAAAAGCACCATATAAAAATGTTCGGTTTCTTTGTTGTTAAGCATGCACAGTATTGGAACCAGTATTAAAGTTATTGAAAATTTAGATGAAAACACAACTTATCGTATGTTGAATCCTATAATTAAAGAACGTATACAATTAGTCTGGTAAAAAGCACCATATAAAAATGTTCGGTTTCTTTGTTGTTAAGCATGCACAAGACTACACAGTTAACTATCTCTGCTCTTCCCCCTTTTTCGGGTATCGAAACCCAAATTTTGTTATAAGCCCTCGGACTTACCGCCGAGCTACCAGGAGTTTCGCAAAAAAGTGCGAACCGTACGTTTCGAAAACAGATATATATAGATATATGTTTGTTCAATCAAACTAACAAAGGAAACGTTTTTTCTTCTTATGTTATGCTAACCTTTAATCCCCAAACGTTTTTCTACTTTTGTGTTTGATATTTTCGTTTCTGATATCCCTTCACAGAGTTTTATATTCCAAACAGTTAGATTTCGCTATTGTTATATTTGATGTTTTCGTTTCTAATATCCCTTCACAGAGTTTTATATTCCAAACAATTAGATTTCTCAACGGTTTTTTATATTCTTGTTTGTGATAACCGCTCACAGTATTTTATATTCCAAACAGTTAGATTTCGCTATTGTTATATTCGATGTTCTCGTTTGTAATATCCGTTCACCGTTTTATATTCCAAACAATTAGATTTCTCAAGGTTTTTTTTTAAATTCTTGTTTGTGATAACCGCTCACAGTATTTTATATTCCAAACAGTTAGATTTCGCTATTGTTATATTTGATGTTCTTGTTTGTAATACCCGTTCACCGTTTTATATTCCAAACAATTAGATTTCTCAACGGTTTTTTATATTCTTGTTTGTGATAACCGCTCACAGTATTTTATATTCCAAACAGTTAGATTTCGCTATTGTTATATTTGATGTTCTCGTTTGTAATACCCGTTCATCGTTTTATATTCCAAACAATCAGGTTTCGCTATTGTTATATTTGATGTTCTCGTTTGTAATACCCGTTCACCGTTTTATATTCCAAACAATTAGATTTCTCAACGGTTTTTTTTTATATTCTTGTTTGTGATAACCGCTCACAGTATTTTATATTCCAAACAGTTAGATTTCGCTATTGTTATATTCGATGTTCTCGTTTGTAATATCCGTTCGCCGTTTTATGTTCCAAACAATTAGATTTCTTTAAATTAAGAGAACAAAAAAAGGACTATTAGCGCTTATCTGGATGAACCATAAATGAGCAGTTTTTCTTTTAATTTTATTCTCTTATCCCTTATGGACGTTCTCATTTTGTTTTGATACGTTACATAAAATACGTCAAGAGTTCCACATCAAGTAGGCTTGATACAAAATCACTGAGAAAGATTTTGTTGGAAATTGTTCATTATTTGTCATTTCTATAGTAACTGTCTTTTTTTTAGTATTCCAAACACGATAACCTTATCATTTAGAAGATAAATACCAGTAGAATTTATAGCACTTTTCTAGATTTAACAAAAAAATGGTTTTAGCGCATCAAGAATTGATTTGGGGATTGGCTATGAGAAAATTCCAATCTCAAAGGCAAAAAATAAGACTTATTCTTTGTGAAACTGGTCTTTTTTTATTATCATAAATCTCCCAGTAAAGGTCACATAACAGTAGTTATATCCTTGTTTTATTCCTTTGAAACCATAAACAGTTGATCTATAGAAGCATATCTTAATATATTTTACGATGTAAAAGAACGTGACGGTTGATATGTGATTTAATCTCATACTTAACTCACTGAAGTCTTATATCCACTCAAGAGCTATAGATTTAGGTCAGAAAATACTACAAAAACATCGCCCCCAAAGGTGTTCTTTAACCGTTGTCATACTGATAAAGACTGTAAATGGTAGAAAATAAGATTACTTCGCGCTCTAGGCCGTATCTTGTTGGCTCAGCGGTAAGTCTCCGCGCTTACTAAGTTAAAATTCGGGTTTCGGTACCCGCAAAGGGAAAAGCACAGATATCTCATTGTGTAACTTTGTGCTTAATAACAAGCAAACGCTCCAAGCCTCGGGGCTACTGAAACTAATGCAACGTGCAAATAAATGTATGCAAATCAGTAGCGTAGGAAGGAGGGTCGCACTTTTCAATTTATCCCATTAAAAATGTATCACATAGGAAAATCTACCCCAGTAAAAATGTATCAAATAGGAAAATCTACCCCAGTAAAAACGTATCAAATAGGAAAATCTACCCCAGTAAAAATGTATCAAATAGGAAAATCTACCCCAGTAAAAATGTATCAAATAGGAATATCTATCCAAGTAAAAATGTATCAAATAGGAAAATCTACCCCAGTAAAAATGTATCAAATAGGAATATCTATCCAAGTAAAAATGTATCAAATAGGAATATCTATCCAAGTAAAAATTTATCAAATAGGAAAATTACTCTCAAGAAAAGCAGGAAAATGCATAAAAGTAATGGGTGTATCTGTTGCGCACATTCCCTCGCTTTGCTCGTTCAAATAAACCTTGCCCCCTTCCCAACACACATACTTTTAATTTGCCTCCTAAACCTCTGAAAATGGATGGAATATGTATTAAAAGAATATTAATGAAAAGGGGAACACATAAAAAAACTTTGGTTGACGTATTTTTAAACTAAATGATAACTCTAAAGTTGGGCATTTTACAAGTAATAATTGTAATAAATAAAATGTCTCTTACTTGAGTATAAACATGAATGACTTAATTTTAATAAAATTAAAAATGGCAATAAATAAATTATTGATTATCGGCAATATAAAACGAAAAATTTGTAACTAGAAAGTTCAAGAAACATACGTGTTCACAAGTAGAACTTTCTTGATAGTAACATAATATATACGTAATAATGCTTTACCAGAAATCCCAGAATCCGTATGTGTGTAGAAATTTTGATAATATCTAGATATTCTAAATTTCCATATTGGTGTAATAGCATTAAAAGTAAAGCCTTTCTGAGGAAACATGCTGTAATCATGCATTCCAACAATATTTTGTGGGAATATGCTCTAACATGCTCACATAATTTTCAGCTCAATGGGAATGTAATCTCAAATATATAGATATATCGTTTATTAGCTACAGAAACTGGTGAATTATATTGGATATAGTCAGTATGCCTCACACTGAGATGGAGAGTAGCAAAGATGTCATTATTCTGCTGCCAATATGCCTCAGTTTTGGAGATAATATTCTAAAACGTTTATAGTGATGCACCTTTCACAAAAATAGTCCGAAGTAGTTTGTTGAACTCAACATTTAGATTATCATTATTATTTTTTTAATAAAGCCCTTTTAAATTCAAATACCCCCCCCCCTTCAAACTTTATCATCAGAAACTCTAGATGGCGATTTAAGTCGTAGTTTCTACCGCTGAGCTTCACAATATAGACTCTTCCTCTGATTAGAAGTCCTCAATCATTGTAGCGTTCAGTACAGTAAATTAATTTTTCCAACCTTTGGTAGAAGGTTCATTTAATGTTCATTTGTATTAAAATTCACCTTCAGTATAACACAAGATCTGGGTCATTGCATTTTGGAAAAAAAACTTTTTTATATAATGACATTGATTATATTACAAAATATAAGTTTGTTAACATGTCTCTGAGAATGTCTAGCATCAAATTCCTTGTTCAGAAACTACATCAGCGAAGACGTATATACATCAGCGAAGACGTATATACATCAGCGAAGACGTATATGTTTAAAACATCTTTAACATCGAATAGCTGAATGGTTAGAGATTGAAAAACAGCTATTTTACGCTTTGTGTTATAACAACATCATATTATAATATCAACTCACCTATTTTTAACACTATGAGCAATGAGATAAGTTCATTCTCTGATGTAGATTTTACAAACCTTGCTGAGGCCCGTTGATAAGATAGTAATCTTTTAACTGGAAATTAAATTAAATATTATCACCCAGAAGCTTGAGAAGGAATACGTGTTTTGAGTTTAACTATATAACTGAGAGCAATGGTGATTTAATAAATGAGTAACTGATGTTCTAAGTTGGATAACATGTTAATAAATTTACCTATCTGTTAACATTGCTACACATAGAGTGGAATAAATCTTACAACATCGGTAATAGACAGTTATAACGTATTAATATTCTATATCGCGGTAAGTGTACGTACTTACAATGCTAAAATCCAGAGTTTGAGTATCCGCAAAGGACAGAGCGCAGATAGACAGTTGTGAAGTTTTGGATTAAAAAACTCAACAAACGCTAATGTTCTACTTCCAAAACAGTTTATACAAAAACAAAAAAGTGCGGACATATTGGCACTAGGATAAAAATATAGATATTTATTTCTTACATAAAGACTGTTTCTTCCGAGACTTGTCCTGGAGCCTAGATATCTATTCGTAGAGGAAGACGTTGTTATTTCTTCCCACTTTATTTTCCACGTCATCGAAACAAGCTCCGCCTCCTGTTTAAAACGTCTTGAAATAAACAAAGTCTTTAATTAGATATATAAATGTGTAAACTTAATTTTATATCACATCGAAATACGGAATATGGCCTGGTGGTTGGCGTACCAGCGTATGGAGCTGTGGGTCTATCGTTATAAAAATAAAATAAAAAAGAGCTCTGCACATTGTGGCTATGGATGCGTTATAAATGTAACAGACAAGTTCCACTATCTGGTCAGTTAAGACTAAGCAGTGATGTTATTGACTAACTGCCTTTCCTCTAGTATATAAGTTCGAAATTACGGACGGCTAGAGCAGATAGCCCCTCAGTAGCTCTGCGCGAAGATCCGAAAACTAACTAACAGACAAACAACAGTAACTTTAATACTTTCAGATATACAGGATAACGAAACGTTCATGTTCCAAAGTTATCCTTATGAATGTGGTTGTGTAACAATACTAGCTCAAACCATTTCCTACCCTTTACTAGTTATATCTATATATCTTTTTATTTAATTTCTTTTAACATAAGTGGGTTTGATAACTTGTAATAATGATTTTAAACATGATCATGTTTTTCTTTAATGTGTAATGTTTTAGAATGGCGAATTTAATAAGTGGGTGTAGTTTACACATTTTAGGGTAAAAGACAATACAGAGGAAATATAAAACCATAGAGAAAAAAATTTACACGACTATATACATTACGTTAATTTCTATTTTTTACTGTAAAAATATGTTTTCGGTTGCATGTTCCAATTTTCTTTACGTTAACTAACTTGCATGAAGAAAAAAAAACATAAACATGATTTAAGCTTTAGTTTTCTTAACATTACGTAGCCAAGTTGTTAATCTCAAATATATACAAAGCTACCTGACTACCATTTTGTATGAAATATTACCGGGAATAGCGAAAAGATTAGAGTGATGGACTGTGAATGCGAATGTCCATGGTTCGCGTCCCGTCGCAAAAACAAAATCGCGGATCGCACTTTTAAGAATGGGTACGTTATAAGAATGACGGTTATATTCCTCCTATTCGATTACAATAGCCCAAGAATTGGCGGTGTGCGTTAATTCTTTCTATTCTATCAGTTCCAAATCATGTAGCTATCCTGTGGGGTTGAAAGTTTCAAACCCCAGTAACACGATTTCTTCCAGACTTCGTTTATAAACTGACTTATCCAACAGCAAATTACTTACCCAAGTTACTAACACAATCTAGTTCAATTAGATCAGAGGATCTCAACTGGTGGCACATTGAACGATTAAAAGAAAATGAATGACTTTAAAATGTTGTTTATATTCACTTTTTAATTTTGTTTTCCTTTAAATAAATGCCCCCCCCCCCAAGTAGCTCAATGGTAAGTGTGAAAGTCTGTAGTGTTAAAAACCGGTTTCCGTTACCCTTTTTTGCCCATTTTGTAGCTTTGCTCTTCACAACAAACAATGAGATACTAAAACAATATACCAAGTAGAATAAAGCGTTTACTTATCGCCTCAACATTGTATAGTACTATCCTCGTTCGCCTCAACATTGTATAGTACTGTCATGGTACAAGGGCTGAAATGGTTGAAAAACACTCTATTATATATTTTAAAAAAAGTGCCATAAGAGAAAATTAACATACTTTATATACGTTTCTGAAGTTTATAGTTCCTACCTCTGTTACACGAGTTCCCGCTGTTAATAAGTGCATTGGGAAATACGTTTCTTGTCCAAACTCCTGCGACATCATCTTACAGAGATTCTGGCCTGGAAATCAGCAGTTTATGGCTTCAACACGATGAAACTATCGCTACACAAAGATTCTGGCCTGGAAATCAGCAGTTTACGGTTTCAACACGATGAAATCATCGCTAAACAGAGATTCTGGCCTGGAAATCAGCAGTTTATGGCTTCAACACGATGAAACTATCGCTAAACAGAGATTATGGCCTGGAAATCAGCAATTTATGGCTTCAACACGATGAAACTATCGCTAAACAGAGATTCTGGCCTGGAAATCAACAGTTTATGGCTTCAACACGATGAAACTATCGCTAAACAGAGACTGATCTGGAAATCAGCAATTTGTAGCTACCATTGGTCAAATCAACCCTCGTCCCATCAATCGCGTTCATATTTTTTTCATAGAACAAAATGAATAAACGCTTTGTTCAATACTTGTATATGAGACGATAAATAAGTTTCAACCTTTAAAAGTTATGATTTATACGTTTAAGACTGGTAAAGCATAAGAAACCATTTTTTCTGTGTTTCGATTTCTAAATAGACAAATTTAAGAGAGATGTGGGGTAAAAAATGCGTCTGTAGTTTACATGACTTTATACCACAAATTTTAAACGTAATTTTTTTTTCATTCTTCTCTTCATTTCTAAAACGTTCCAAATGTTCCATCTAACCAGTTTAAAACTGATTAAAAATCATTATTTGCACTAGATTCGAATGTTATTATTAAAATAAACATAGCTACGCATCACTGGCGTGTTCGTTTATACAAATCAATACATCGATCGTCATCTCTCTATAACTGTTATTGTTTGCTGAAAGGATTCTAAGTCATTTAATTCAATAAATAAAAATCCCCACCTATAATAATCCTGTGATCGTTTAAGGACCCATATCCCTCTTAGTATTCAGTCCCGATTTCAACGACTTCTTTTATGGAGTATCCTCTAAATAAACTTACCTGATGCTATGTGGACACTCAGTTTCTCCCAGTTTCAAACTACCTGTATTTAAACTAGGAGTACCTCAGTATATCATATATAAAAATTAGGAACACGTGTTTTTAAGTGAACCAACTTCTAATTAAACCTTATGTAAAACATATACGCTTTCTGTGTTGTGAATTATCTGAAATTGATCGATCTAAAAAATTAAGTGTTCTGGTATCTTCTTGAACTACAATTTACAATCTTTTATTTAATTAGAAAAAAGTTCTAAGCCATGGTTTAACTTATACAGACTATCTCATCGTGTCGAAAATCTTTTGTATTTGTTATCACTTTGAACGTAAATTTGATATTCTAAAATTCCAGTAAAATCATCAAATTTGTAGGTGGAAGAACTCCAAATGAAATGTCACCAAATATGTTTTTAATTAGGAATTTGTTGAATATTTCCGTTAAATCTTCCTACGTACCTATAAATAAAGAAGGAAGTAATGCACAGAGCGATAAGAAACCCCGACAACAGGCCACTGATGATAGCGTATTTTGGGAATATGTTTTTAATTAGGAATTTGTTGAATATTTCCGTTAAATCTTCCTACGTACCTATAAATAAAGAAGGAAGTAATGCACAGGGCGATAAGAAACCCCGACAACAGGCCACTGATGATAGCGTATTTTGGGATTTTTTTTATTAGGAATTTGTTGAATATTTCCGTTAAATCTTCCTACGTACCTATAAATAAAGAAGGAAGTAATGCACAGAGCGATAAGAAACCCCGACAACAGGCCACTGATGATAGCGTATTTTGGGATTTTTTCTGGAAAGAATTGAGAAATTATAAACACACAAGCAAATCACTCTGACAAAAATACTTAAGGTATATTCATGTAACAAAGTATACTAACTGACACGTTGGTGTGTACAGTTTTTAAGTTTACGTTACATAATGGTTTTCTCTGGTATTGCAAGTTTAGTAGTACTTTTGAGCTCACAGGTAACAGTTTCTTTGTTGTTAATTAATATTACTTAACAACGAATCTCTGGGTTAACCGGGTTAACTGTTGACGAGATCCGGAAATCCTGAAAAGTTAGAGTAAAATATAGGGATCTGTAGGACTTGATCTGGGGAGATTTCTGCGGTGACTTTCTAATGATATAGTGGTCAGAGTGGTCTTTTATATTCTCAAGGCTAATCAGTCTCATCGCTCTGGCCATGGTTGTCCACGTATTCCGAAGATTTTGTGAACATACCCGGTCTGTAGGTAGACGTGTTTCTCTTCATCCGTTTGACATTTTTATCAACGGACATTCTCTACTGACCTCTTTTACTTTGGTTCGGTTTATTTGGAAGTTCGCGCAAAGCAACATTAAAACTATCTGCGCTAGTTGTCCCTAATTTAGCATTGAAGGACTAGAGGGAAGGCAGCTAGTCATCATCACCCACTGCCAACTCTTTTACCAACGAATAGTGGGATTGATCACCACATTATAACGTTCCCGCGGCTGAAAGGGCGAGCATGTTTGGTGTGACGGGGATTCGAACCCGCGACCCGCAGATTGCGACTCGAGCGCCCCTAACCACCTATCTATGCCGGACTACCCCTTTATTAAGTCTTGCTTTCTGCGTTAGTGGTATTACGTTATGATGATATCCACATCCGCTGCACTGGTAGCACGTCCAGCATTTTGCTAACTTACACTGGCAAGTAAGCTTTGAATCTAATGCTTCTGTTATCTGTCCTCCGAGATATGTTTAATCTTGACGGAATATCTGCTGGTTGTCCTTATGGTTACCGATTATCGCTGGCTTCGCAAGAATTTCTAAAGATATTTTATTACAGTAACGCATACTCAGTCAAAGTATATTAAAACAAGAGGGAAACCTCATTAACCGCGGCAATTGAAATTTTTTTACACAGGATTAGAGTAAATTAGTCTATAAGACCTTTTTTTTCCTTTTTATTAGTTAAATTTTTGTACGCCAGCAAAACCAAGCGCGGGACGCGCGTTTACCCGATTCAATTTTATTACTCATCAGGATGTCTACCAGCTTAACCTCAAATTGAAATTCTTTTAGACAGGATTAGAGTAAATTAACTTATCAGACCTTGGGCGTGGTCATATACATCCATCGAAAGGGTTTAACCTCCTGAGTCCAAAACTGTAAATAGATTTCAAATCGGTCAAGAGATGACGGAGATATGAGTTAAAAAGTGTGTGCTTAAAAAAAAAACTCAGAGACGTTCTATGAGCCGCTATGCCGCGGCTAAAAAATCTGTCCATTCAGTAAAATCGAAAATCGTTGTCTCTCCTACACTTCCTTTCAGTTTTGTGGTTGATAAGCACCATTCATTGACAATGAATATTTCGTAAAATTTCCATGAGAACTGAGAAAATACCCGATGTTTGCCTCTGGGAGGCAAGATACCTACCGTACGTAGTCTCAGAGATTCATTGTTAAATACCCGATGTGTGCCTTTGGGAAGCAAGATACCGTACGTAGTCTCAGAGATTCATTGTTATAAAACACAGAAAATAAATTATTCAGTATTCATCCACAATAAATTTAAACAAATATTTTTATATAATCATTTGAAAAGCATGTTTAAATATACATGTATTTGATTCAAGCGCAAAACTATATAATTGATTGATTATCTGCTCAGAATTTTTAGCTTACCACTGAACCACGGTGGGCCTAAATTAAGGACACAAACTTTTATCACTACAATGAAAACAAGTCCTAAGACTTCACTATCTTTACTCGGTATAAAGTTATTTTTCAGTGTTTTTTATGTTACGGAAAAAAAAATGTGAAAATAATAAAAACAAAACAAGAAGGCGATTTAATTTTTGTTCGCATATTTAAAACAATAACACTGCAAAAGACACTTGTTTTAATTTTAAAAAAATACATTTTTACCGTTAGAACACTTTGTTCCGTCGAAACCGCACGGAGGAATGTCAGGCGGTGGGTCCTCCCGGCCGCCTGCCCAATGAATCTTTTTTCCAGGAACTCTTTCAAATTGCTTTGTTACACCATAATAGTTGGCTACAACCTGTGTGATGATTCATTTCATCATACTGTAGTATATGTTGCAAATAAATGTAATTAGTAGTCGAGAGTTCTATTACTAAAACCTGATTTCTGTTTGTTTGCTTGTCTGTTTTGAATTTCGCGCAAACCAACACAAGGGCTATCTGTGCTAGCCGTTCCTAATTTAGCAGTATAAGACTAGAGGGCGTTATAATGTGACGGTCAATCCCACTATTTGTTGGTAAAAGAGTAGCCCAATAGTTGGTGGTGGGTGGTGATGACTATCGCCTTTCCTCTAGTCTTACAGTGCTAAATTAGGGACGGCTAGCGCAGATAGCCCTCTTGTAGGTTTGCTCGAAATTCAAAACAAAAGCAACTCATCTATGGCTACGAAAAGGAGCGCGATTCTAAGATTCCCAGTCCGACATCCTAACTGCTAAATGTTGCCCGACTGAGGCAACATGATAATCACAGCAGACAGAAAATATATCTTTTAACCAGAATTATCAAATAATTTATATTAGGGTGTGAAATATGTATAACACTCTTCGTTACCTTATACTTTATAACATCAGCGTAAAAATGTTTTGTACATTTTATGTTTTTAAACGAAAATAATTGTTCAGGAATAATAATTTCTCAAAAATATCGTTAAGTCTGAAAGAAAAACAATTAATTACAATCACGTTATTTGTTATAATATGACATTCTCAGTCGTCTTGGGTTCAATTACATACAAATTACTCATATCCAATTATTTATAAGCTAAGCTACTTTCGGTTTTCATAATAAAAAAATTTCTGGTAGATCGTGTTGATGACACTTAAAAATATTTTCGTGAATCCTTAACATTTTTATATGTCATATAAAGTGTTCATAGGAGTAACAATATAAGACAATTTTTTTAATACTTACCTGAAAGTCTCCTGTGTCCGGGTCCATGTCCAGAAGCGAGAAATCGACATTTCTATCTCCGTTATCATCAATTCTTACATTTCCTGTGATGCCTAAGAAGAAGAATATATATATATGCTAGGACTAGTTTCGAGTCGTAACACGTTTATTTTGCTTGCAGAACTCAACTGGGAATTTGTTTTTATTTGTCTATCACAATTAATAAAATTTCAAACTGTCCTTGCCATTAAATACTGCAATGTATATTGTTAAATAAAGAAGTGGATATCGTAGCATTGAGGCCTGTTTCTTTTTTTCGTGGTTAGGGCGCTCGACTCGCAATGTGCGGGTTCGAATCCTCATCACGGAACATGCTCGCCTTTTCAGCCGTGGGAGCGTTATAATGTTATAGCTAATCCCACTGTTCGTTGGCAAAAGTGCAGCATTCCACTATTCGTTGGCAAAAGAACAGTCCAAGATTTGACGGTGGGTAATGCTAACTACCTGCCTTCCCTCTAGTCTATCACTACTAAATTAGGGACGGCTGGTACAGATAGCCCTCCAATAGCTTTGTGCGAAATTCAAACCAAATTTTTTTCCATGGCCAGGTGATTAGGGCGCTCGACTCGCAATCTGCGGGTCGCCGGTTCGAATCCCTGTCACACCAAACATGCTCGCCCTTTCAGCCGTGGTGGCGTTATTATATGACGGTCACTATTCGTTGGTAAAAGAGTAGCCCGAGAGTTGGCGGTGAGTGGTGATGACTAGCTGTCTTCCCTGTAGTCTTACATTGCTAAATTAGGGATGGCTAGCGCAGATAGCCCTCGTGTAGTTTTGCGCGAAATCAATAACAAGCAAACAAACAATCCATGAAAATAACAAAATATTTGTGTAAATCCACGTAATTGTGATCTGCATAAGGGAAACACATGCCAATAAGAAGGGTTAGCCACTCGTAAGTATGAATAACTCAATTCTATCTGGGAAGTAAGGGTAGGTGCTTCCACTTATTGACAACCAATAAGTGTAAATTTGTGTTATATAAGGTCAAGATTATATAATAACTCCTACTATGTCACATAAAAATATTTTTGAAGGCTATATTTGCAAAGTTATAATTTAGTTTTTGATAGATGGAGCTGCTAACCATGATGTTGTCGCAAGGTCTATAAACTTCTTAAAAGTAATCACGGAATATAGAAACTTCCCATGCTTGGTTGAAGCGAAAGTTAAGCATAGCTACAAAAATAGACAATAGAGTATTTGATTATCAAGGAAAGACTGAGTAAGTTGTTGATTAATTACGCTATTCAGGTCACCAAGAGTTATTATTTCTGTAAGCTAATGATTAAGTTAGTCAGATTTGTTATCAATCAAAAAAAATTGATGTTAAACTTTATTAGTTTATTTGGACTACGGTAGTTTGTAGTTTCCATTGAAAGGTTTTGTTGTTGAAACTAGGCCTACAGGTGACAGTGGATGTATACCTGAGAGATAAATTAATTTGTTGCTGCTACGTGGACTAGATCTCTCTTTATTTTTACTAAATAGTCCAAAAGTAGTTCCTGTACGCTGAATCCGAAAATTATATCCATTTTTCTCCACCACGTACAGATTTTTCACAAAACCTCATAATGCAAAACATAAAAGAAAGGCAACAACACGTAGGTTTTAGACTAAAAGACGTAGATTTCACAAAAAAAAAGTCAGGATGAATTAGAATGCATATTCGTTTGACACCAATGTTCTTCCCTTTTCTTTAGTTTGTTTGTATTTTTGTTAACAAACATAATAATAAAAAATGTTCATTGTGGTAAACGAAATAATAATTTGATCTACGTAAGAGTTTTTTTTTCTTCCCGATTTGTAAAAAAATCCTTACGTGATAGAAAAAAAAATGAATATTATTTTCGAAATCTGCGTAGCTGAATTATGGAAAATCCATTACTTATGGAGCTTAAATTCGCAGGCCTGTGTTATTTATAGGTTAAGAAAGCTTTACATATTTAGATACATAATTCAAAAATGGCTTCCATGATCTCTGGATAATCTTTCGCTGTTTGTCAAAATCTGAAAAGAATTTCAGAAGATGTAATTTTATGTGGAATTGCATGGTCCTGTGAATATTATATAAACCAATAAAAATCATGGAAATCAAGAAATTTTCAACAAAATCAGTGGATAGAGTGAGAAATTAAAATGGAAAAAACAAAGTTAAAAAAAATTCTAAATAAAAAAATATTTAATTGAAGAATGATTCTGTACATAAGTTTGCTAATCCAAAATCACTCAGAAGTGAAGTTTGAGTTAATTTTCTTAGATATCAATCACATACACACACACACACATGGAGTAGGGTTGTAACATAAATAGTATATGAGCAATTAGCAGATCATCAAAGAAAATATTGACAAATTCAAAACAAACAAACAAAACCTTCGGTGGCGGAGATAATTATTATTTAAACAAACTTATTATCAAATGTTGAACTTTACATAAACGAATACAATATGGAAGATATTTTGTGTTCGTTTTCTTTTAAAACGCTTTAATTATAATTTTGCTTGTTGAGACTACGCTCTAACTCTCCTAGCTGCACCGGCTGATTTCTGTGTTCTATGTGATAATTCGATCAAAAACGGCAGTTTAAATTGTCGTCGTAAATGGAACAGGTAAAATATGTTTAAAATGAATTGAGCTTCTGAATATCTAACATGTATATTTACGTTCAATTTTTCACATTGTTCTGAATCTTTTTACTCTTAGATCAGCCCCCAGTGGCACAGAGGAATGTCTGCAGACTTACAACGCTAGAAACCGGGTTTCGATATCCGTAGTGAGCAGAGCATAGATAGCCCATTGTGTAGCTTTGTGCTTAACTTTAAATAAACAAACAAATTCTTATATCAAATTATCTAAATGATTTCTGTTGCATTATCTACCTTCAAATGTGCGATTCCACATTTTCTGGGTAATAACTCTGCCATTCATGATATCGTCCCCTTCTTCCAGAGTTTCATTCAACGCTAGGGCGTAAAGAAGAACTGCCTCGTGAAATGCCGTTGCATACGCACTGACCTGTGAAAAGAAAGAATAAGAAAACACCAAAGAAAATTAATGATGTCTAAGGAAATTAATGGTATAGATCTCCTACACTTTCGACACTAACATGTGTGCATGAACATTGTTTTGTCTTCATTTTTAAACTTTAACAAAAATGTGCTGATTTTTAGCACTTTCATCAGTAAGTATTGATTTTTGTAGACTTTTAACCAAATACTAAAACAATAGGTGGTACTAAGTAATCGATAACAGAACTTGTTTTTTGTCTATTTCATATTACATGCTTATGTATCTTAAAGCATAAATAAGTAATAGATGGGTTTGCATAGATTCAAGATCAATGGGTGAAGGGTTGATAGGGTGCAAAATTAGCTGGAAACGTAATTCAAAATGTAAAAAAAAATATGGTGAAATTGATTGTTGGCTTTGTTTTTACACTTTTCGAAATCTATGAGAGAAACTCCGATTATAATTCATTATATTAATAAATATATTATAATATATATTATTATTATTATATATTAATAATAATAATAAAGAATAATTAAATGTCTCATAAATAATATATCCAGAACTAATCGAAAGTTGTATGTCATCGTTTGCCCCCCCCCTAGTGGCACAGCGGTATGTCTGCGGACTTACAACGCTAGAATCCGGGTTTCGATACCCGTGGTGGGCAGAGCACAGATAGCCCATTGTGTTGCTTTGTGCTTAATTACACACAAACACACTAAGCTAAACGAGCATATCAAAGACCCTTAATTTTCAGTATCGTCGTCTCCAAATAATAGAAAATACATTTGTGTACAGATATATACATATTCTCAATTGCCAAATACACTTTCTGTTATACAGTTCATACGCAGAAATTGTTAAATAGCGTCAAACAGATGTACAGGCAAAGCAATTAATAGTCTTCTTAGACTAAGCACTAAAAATATAACTGTTCTAGAAGTTTCCATTAATTGAATAAATTACTTCTGCTAGTTGTTTCTAATCTCGACTGTATCTGAGAAAAATTTAGTTTTGACAAAATATAACTTGACTAATCGTCTTTAAACTCACGTTCGAAGCGTCATTTGTAATATCAAGAAAACGTTCCTCGAACATAATTCTGTTTCTATAACATAAAAATAATGAAACACTCGATATATTTAATGAAATATAGTTATAAAAGAAGTTAGACAGCTGTTTTATTCCATGGCAATTTTTCAGCTCACTTAACCGAGAACTTTACTTCAGCGAGATTAATTTTCAAGTGATGACGAGCTGAAATAATGAATCTCGAGAAAATGAGAAAAGTACAGATTGAATTTAAGAAAAGTAGAACGATTTCGGAAATCAACTTTGAAAGACGAAAGCTATTAACTGTTGTTGTTTTAAAGCTAAGCACAAAGCTTCACAAGGGGCTATCTGTGTTCTATCTACCACGGGTATCGAAACCCGGACTTTGGCGTTTTGTGTCAGCGGACATACCGCTGCGCCACTGGGGGGTCAGCTATTAGTGAATGCAATATGTGTTTAGTTAATGTGATACTTTAAAGTTTTAACAATGATCATTTAAATACGGGTTTTATATTATTATTTTGTGATCAAACACAACCTCATTATTTCGAATAGTAACTACTTTTTTCGAGATTGAGTATGTTATATTAAAACGATTCACCCTATAGCCATGTCACCACGTCCAGTCATGATCTATCTGACGACCATGCATAATGACAATAGTCATGCCACGTAGTTTTCATTGCAAAAGGCTCATCTCGTAAAGCTCTTATGTTCAAGTCACACTACTACTCCCCGATGCGCCCATAAACCATACAGAATGTGAGGACGACGGTTTCCCAGAGCCCGTTTCCAAAAACAGAGAAATCCACAGCCACTGGGTCCAGCGACTTGACCTATATGTCTTCGTGTAGAACAGCGTGGTTACACGTTTCATTATTCAACTACTTGAGATATGCTACTTTACACGTGAAATATGACTGGAAGCCTTATTTTGGTGAAGCCATGCCTTTTTAGCTTCGTTTACAGACGGATATCCTTCTTGAACCTGTTGCGTACTGTTGCCTGGGAAAAGTGGGCAGCCTTTGTTTTCCAATGCCATTAAGTACCAATATATCCCATCTGGTAAGTTATAAGTCCTAAATCTGAACACATCTTTATGATACACACTCTTCCCAAAGGGGAACAATATTCGGTGGCATCACACTACCTACAAAACGTTAAACAATGCCAAAATGTAGTTTTGATACATTCTGTTCCTCCCCGACCTTATATTGCCTGTGTTTGTAAAGCGTCTTTGTGACTTTCATATCAAAATTGTTCTAAGATAACATTTTAACCCTCTGTATATTTGTTTTGTTAGGCTCCTCTTTTGTAGCTGTATCTTTTTTTCTTAGTGACACAGATACTGAAAACGTTCTATTATATTATCTTTACATTACAATTTTGTTGAACTACTATGCTTCTTTTAATCGGCATTTAAATGATAAATCTGTCAAAGCAAAGTGAAGGAATGCTTATAATTTTCGAATCATTATATTGGCTTAAAAGAAATGTGAATAGCATAGCAATTTATTATATCCTTCGAAAGAAAATCCACCAAACAACTATAATCTCTTAAAGCTATTACTTTTTGTGTAATTTTCGTGTTGCTCTTCTCGTGGAATAATACTAAATCTAGTCTCCCGAAGGAACAGCAGTCGGTTTGCGGAGGTACAACTCTAAAATCCAAGGTTCGATTCTCCGCAGTGGACACGGTAAATAGCTAAACAAACAAATACTAAACCTAACCACAAAATTACACGTGCCTGTACTCGTCCATGCGTTTCTTTGCTTTGAAAAAACACGAGAAACTAGCTAATAACATTGAAAATATCATTATTCTGACCAACGTAGCATAGTCATGTTTTGGGTGAAATAAATTAGATGTTTTATATCTACGATGTAATTGTGTATGTCGTGCTTGCATGCCATTGTTACACTATAGTAATGTAATTGTGTATATCGTGCTTGCAAGCCATTGTTACATTACAATAATGTAATTGTGTATGTCGTGCTTGCATGCCATTGTTACACTACAGTAATGTAATTGTGTATGTCGTGCTTTCAAGCCATTGTTACACTACAGTAATGTAATTGTGTATGTCGTGCTTGCATGCCATTGTTACACTATAGTAATGTAATTGTGTATGTCGTGCTTGCAAGCCATTGTTACATTACAATAATGTAATTGTGTATGTCGTGCTTGCAAGCAGTTGTTGCACTACAATAAATAACGTTTATAAAAAGTCCTAAATTAAAATGGATATGAAAATTTCTTTTTTTCTTACATTAAAACTTGTTGCTTAAAAAAACAAAATTGTTGTCCTCAGGTTATTTAATAGCTCATTACTATATTGGCACACCAAATATTTTAATGACGTCATTCTTTATATATACACTGGCTGTTATATATATATATATTAGACCAGTTATCCGGGGTAGTAATAAACAACTCTAGGCAGTAGGAGTCCAAGGCCTCACTAACGTAATCTTATCATCCAAACCTTCATTCATAACGTCCCAGCGGAAATTGTTGAAGTATACCCGATTTATCAATTTCATAAAATTGTCTTACCCAAGTGGCTTTGTGGTAAGTGGAAGATTTCACAAATCCATCAATATTTCACGCTTATCAGAACGTATTTTTCTAATTATATCATATGTCTTAAAAATTACGGTTTAAACGCCGAAAGAAGATGAAACATCCAAAACCAATAAGCCTATAAAAATTCTATCAATGTTTAAGCCTAAAAATCATTAGTTAAAACTAACGGCAATATTTTTGGGAAAAATAAAGAAAAAATAAGATGTTTTACCACAAAAATTAATAATAAGACTGAATAAAATAGAAAAAAAAAGTGTGGATACCACACAATATTGACTTAAACAATAAAATCTTAAATAACGCGAAACTAATTTGGTAAAACAAAGGGAAAATATACATATAGAAATATTTAATTGCTAACATTTGTTAACCCGAGGGGACAGCGGCAAGTTCATGAACATACAACACTAAAATACGGGGTTCGATTCTCCTGTGGTGGACACAACAGATAACCCAATGTGGCTTTGCTCTAAAAATACAAACAAATACTAACATCTGAAAATTTTGTAAGAATTTGTCAACTAAAATAGCACAGCGGAATATCTGCGGACTTACAACGCTAGAATCCGGGTTTCGATACCCATGGTTAGCAGAGCACAGATAGCCCATTGTGTAGCTTTGTGCTTAATTACTAACAAAAAAAAACCCTCAAATACTCGAATTAACAAAACAAAATATACACAGCGTGGTCACAAGTAAATAGACATCACCTTTTCAGAAAAAAATGAAATTTTTCAGTCATATTCACATGAACTGATATATTTATAATTTAATTAGTATCTAGTAGATCTTCCTTTCGCTTCGAGGAGCTCGTTAATCCTTTGAGGCATAGTGGGAATCATCTCGTCAATTTTAGATTGTGGGATTTTCGCCCACTCTAGCTTCAAAACTTGGAGTAGATCGCTCTTCGAGGTTGTTGTGTTTTTTTTGTTGTTGTTGTTTCTTGACTTGCCGGTCGAGTATGGCCCAGAAGTTTTCGATGGGGTTCATGTCAGGAGATTGGCTCGGCCAGGGCAATTTCTGGATACCATTTTCTTCCTGCCACTTTTGGGTGTTTCTAGCAGTGTGACACGGTGCTCCATCTTCCTGGAACAACGTTGTGTTCTTGTCCACGAACCCGAGGAATAAAGTGGCAATATTTCGACGTATTTCGCAATAATTATGTTCCCAACGCACTCCACTAAGCTCGATCTCCCACCAACCCAAACAGTACCCCAAACCATCACGCTGAAACCACCATGCTTCACAGTTGGTTGCAATCTGTTGAGCCAAAACTCTTGGTGAGGCATTCTCCAGACCCATATCTTTCCACTGTCCGAACATTGAGCGAATCTTAATTGGTCTGAGAACAATACGGTCTTCC